AAGCGCGAGGTGAACCTTGCGGATTCCATGGCAGGCAAGGGTGGCCGAGGAGGAGGGACAAACATGCCAGGCAGACAGAGATTATCTGAGAAGTTTTATTCGGGGGGCAGGGAGTAAAGAGACACAGAGACAGAGAGAGGGAGAGAAGACAGAGGATAAGAGGCAGACAGGAAAAGTCCTGACTGCCCTAGGGGAACAGAGGGAAAGAGAAGAGAGTGTAAGTGGGTGGGTTCTGTCTTTTAAAGGGGTCCTTTGCACCTGTATGCAGACTACGAAACCATGGACCCTGGACTGACCAGGCATTCTGCCGGGTGACAGAGGCAGGCCAGCATAATGCCTGATCCTTTCACCAAGTGCAATGAGGATTTGAATTGTGAGTTCAGACAGAAGTCACCAGCATCTTACTTGAATTTGTCTTGGATCCCAAATTTTCAATGAGAGGCCGAGAGGCAAGAATTCAGTTTATTGGGGCCTTAACTGGCACCTTCAGTGCTGGTTTAAGGAGAGGAGCTCCATGTTTAGAAGGAACGGGGACCTAGGGCACAGAGGGCTCAAAGGGAGAACCTACTTTGCAGCATCTCAGCAGGGGCACCACCCCCCACGTGCTTCCTTTGGGAACTAGGCTGGTTAAATACTTGGGAGTGAGCAGGCTTCCACCTTCAAAGTTTCCAAGCTGGAAGAGAATACAACCAAGGGGTATTTGGGATCCCAGAAAGGAGGAGGAAGCCCCTGCTGGATAGGTAATTAGACCTCACAGCCAGAGGTAGAGCACTTCTCACTCTGAAAGGGAAAACAGACAGGGAGGGGCTGGGGCTCTTGGGTCCCCCTGGAAAGTCAGCTCCAGGGAGAGTCTTTATAAACTCAACCCACCTCATTGATTAAATTGCAGGCTCCATGTAATCAGAACATTCTAATGGGTGTCTGGGGGCACATTTGAACCTCACATGGCTATCTGCCTGGTTGAGGCCCATGGCCTGTTTGTGAATCCGACTGGGTGGGAGGGTTCTTTTTCCTCTTTTATATGAAGCACATAGGAGCCTCAGCCGCCCTGAACTTCACAGAGAAATAAACTAAGAATTCTTAGAGTTAACTATTACATCCAACCTTAAAACTGTCTTATACAACAATATCTTTAGAATCTTTCCCAAAGGAGCAACACAGCCTGGAATGTTTAACCTCTTTCTAGGCTGTTTTGTTCAAGTTCTGGACCTCAGTATGTCTTTATCTCGTGTGCTTTTAATTCTAAACTTCTTTATGCTATAGCTCATCTTTCTTTCTTGTCTGTTAAAATGTTCATGGTAAGCTACAAGAAAAGAAGACCCTCCCCCCAATTTCTTCCCTAATTTCAGAACATCAGATTTTGCATCCGAAGTTGCCCTGATTTACTTCATAATCTCCAGGGTGGTTGGAGGCTTTGAAAAACCCTAGACCATACCTTGAGTCCATTCCAATCGGTGTAGTCTGGATTTCTGGGACCTAAGCATCTTTACTTAATGAAGCTTCCTAGCTGAGGACAGTTTGTAGTCAGTGCTTACATCTTCTATACTGAGGTCACCCCAGCACAGATCTCCACCTGTTCAAGGAGCTCTGACTCCCTTCCCTGTGGGGTTACAGCCTGTAGAGTCTGGAGCAGCCTGCTTACTGTGATGGTGGAGTCTGGCTGCTCAGTAATGGACTGAGCTGTGTGCTGTGCTCTGTGACCAGATACTGTTTTCCTTAAGTGTGTCATGGTGTGGATTTTTGTGAATGTAATGACAAAGCAAAGAATTTCTTCCATCCTCCGAGTTTGGGCTCTGTGAGGGAGAAATAAAGGTACCAGGAGCCTCCCCACTGTCTTGTTGGTTTGTGACAAGTCTAATTGTGGCTCGGTGAAATGGGCAACAATGTACAGAAGGGCAAGCAGAATGCATAGTGTTGGGGAGCCTGTACCAGTTCTCAACTTTTGTTTTTTCTATTGTTTTCCCTGGTAGTTTGCTTTTCTCTCTCAGATGTGGAATGCCTCAAACTCACAGAAATCTGCCTTCCTCTGCCTCCTAGCAGTGCTGGGATTAAAGGCATTCGCCACTACTGCCCGGTGACCATTGGCACTCATTATCTAAAGCTTCCCATTCACACACACGCGTGCGCACGTGCGCACACACACACACACACACATACACACAGACACGTCACTCTGTAGTTCTTCCTGTTCTGGAACTTGATGATGTAGACCAGGTGCTGTTGATACTCAAACCATAACCATTAAAATGAATGTCTGATCCCCATGATTCAACCATTTCATCTGTCAGTGTCTACTCTAGACAAGCCCCTTTAGTTTTGAAAGGGGTAAGGTTGCTCATCAATGCATTCATTGTTTGAGATAATAAAAAATGGGAATAAATGAAGTGTTTATTAATAGTTTATTAAACATAATGCTAAATAATTAAAAGTTATGTGTCCTGACCTGCAGGACGTCAACCTGGGGCAAGAGAGTCAGGGAGAGGGAATGGGGACAAGAGACGCAGAAAGAACAACCACAAGACAGGATTCTGATCAAGTGGCAAACTTTACTTTTCTCAGGCTAGCTTATAAAGTCAGGATATTGTCCCGACCGCCTCGACCAGCAAGGATGACACAACACTGGAGCTCTTCTTGCAAGCAGTTTATTCAGAACCTTGTTAACAGTGATCTCTCTCTCCGGGGAAGCCTCTCCCAGCCCTTAAGTAGGCATGGACCACCAACCCTGGGCTCTCCCCGGGCAAACCTCTCCCAGCACTTAAGTAGGCATGGACCACCAACCCTGGCTTGCCACGTGGGCACCGTCCATAGGTCCACGCATACGCAAGCAGCTTACGATCATCGCATGAGTCTGGCCTTAGCCATATATGGAGTTGTTTTTTTCAGAGAGCGCTCGCTTTCGGGATCACGGAGGGTGGAAGCCAGCGCCATCTTTAAGGTGCGGCTCCATGCAGCTCTCTACAGTTCCCCCTTTTTGTTTTGCAAAGCAACAGGCAAGAGTATAGGTCTGATCTCTGTTAAAATGGAGCATGTACTAATGTCTGTCCAGGTGTCATCCACCCAGAGAACACTAGACCAGCTCGGTGCCCTTTTCACAGAGGTGGGACTTAGACACCAACCCTCATGCAATCAAACTTGCTCTTCTTGAGGCTGATGTATGTTGACCTCAAGTGCAGTGCACAAGCCTCGCATCCTGTGCTCAAATATCTTTTAGAGTAGCTGACCAAGCTTGGGGGGACTTTCCTGCTTCAATGGCCATGAAGGCCTGAATGATCATGGCCACATTGCGACGCTGTCAGACCCTCATGCGACAAATGCACCACAGGCACGCCAGGGAGGCAAGTACCATAAAGCCTGTCAGGGCTCCTATCCCCGCCCACTCCTTAAGATGATTCATGGCTGTGGAGATCCAGGAGGACAGTCCTTCTGCTAGACCAGCGTCCATGCGCGTGGAATTCACGGTCACTATCGCCACCAGCAGCTTTTCCAATTGTTGTTCAAATGCACCAGACCAATTACCTAGAAGATAGCTAGACAATTCTTTAGATAAATTAGCTGCACGAGTAAAGTTTTCATACTGAATGCTGGTTATGCACAGCCCAGGAAACTTCCACTCACATCCACGTTAAGCTAATTGCCAGAGGACATCAATTTGTTCTTGAACCAAATCTATGCGTTGATTGACAACCATTAGTCCACCTTTTAACTGGCTATCAATTCCAGTTTGTGCCTCCATTGCGTGTGCCACCGAGGCGGATAAATTATTTAACGTTTGAGCTGTCTGTACCGTATGGGTCATGGCAATAGCCGCTACTGTGCTTGCCGTAGCAGTAAGAGCTACAGCGGTGACAATCGCTGCCGTGATTCCAAAATCATTTTTATATCTTAAAAGGCTCATGGCGTTAGGAGCATCCACTGGCACGGGAATCCAGCGTTAGACATAGTTTTTTCTGAAGCTGCCTTCTCAGATCTCTCTCCTCTTGTAGAATCTCAAGGGCGGCTTGGCCACTCTCTACCACTTCACTGCATCTTAGATCTTCCAAGCAACTGCGCACTAGCCTCCAAACTGGTCTAACTCCTTTCCTTAGCGTGCCTTGTTCTGCAGCGAAGTCAAGATCTCTGCCCAACTTTTCCCAGGATGATACATTGAGGTTGCCCGAGACGGCAAACCAGGGAGCAACTACATCACATTCATTTAAAAATCTTTCTAACGTGCTCCCCTTTATTTTCAAGTTCTTTGAACAAAGGAGCTCATTAAGAGCCAGAAAAATTGGGTGCGATGGAGAAGCGCCCATTTTAGAAACCTGTTCGATTCTTATAATTTTACTTTCACTTTTAACTTGTCTGCTCTTGTTGTGGCTCTACTGTCCCGCTCTCCCTTTACCTACAGGTGAGAGCATAAAACCTGCTTTTATCCAGGATCCCCAATCTTACCTGAGGACTTACCGGTGCACCCCCTGACTGCAGCAAGTTCTGGGCTCCACGGAGAGAGAGAATGGAGGAGGTAGTTCCCCGAACGGCCACCACTTGTTGCGACTGCCTCGACCAGCAAGGATGACACAACACCGGAGCTCTTCTTGCAAGCAGTTTATTCAGAACCTTTTTAACAGCAATCTCTCTCTCCGGGAAAGCCTCTCCCAGCCTTTAATTAGGCCTGGACCACCAACCCTGGCTTGCCACGTGGGCACCGTCCATAGGTCCACGCATACACAAGCAGCTTATGATCATCACATGAATCTGGCCTTAGCCATATATGGAGTTGTTTTTCTCAGAGAGCGCTCACTTTTGGGATCACGGAGGGTGGAAGCCAGCGCCATCTTTAAGGTGCGGCTCCACGCAACTCTCTACACTGGGTCAAGTTGTTTCTTTTCTTGAGCTGAGGTTCTAAGGAGCTGCTATGTAAAGGTTAACTATGTGGCCTTCCAAGCATGGCCTAGGATCTCATGCCAAGCCCTGAGATTTGGCTCCCAACATATTCCCCCTTCCTTGTATAAAAAGACGTGGCCAAATTTTTCAGCAGAGGGAGATAGAGGCCTGGCCCCCAATTGGAGAATCCATGTGGATTTTATAAAGGACATTTTTCTCTGATCTCAGGGACAGCTTCTTGGAGCCATCTGAAAGGTAGGACTGTCCAGATTCCTTTTGTGGGGGTGGGGAAGCTTTAGGACATCCACCCCATTGTGCATAGGCATAAGATGAGGTCTCCTTGCAGTACCAGCCAGGTCTGCACCTCTGAAGCTGGCCGTGGGGAAGTGGTTGGTATTGGGCCAGGACAGGCTGAGTGGCAGAGTCCACTTGCTGCTTGACAAAGGCCACAAGTCAATTAAAGGCCCAAGGGCCAAAGGAGATTAACAAGAGGAGCCCTAGCAAAGGTCCAAGGAGGGAAGGGAGGAGGGTGGTTAACCATGGGGGAGTAGTAGGAATAGGTAGAAGGAAGCAAAAAGGAGCAACAGGAGGTTATTGTTCCATACAAGCGAAGCCAGCCAAGCCAATCATTGAGTCAGTGTCATCAAGGTCATTTTCGGGGGGGGGGGCATGTAGAATGGGTTGATCGGGACATTGGACAGCAGTGTCGGAGACACAGGACCCTCAGCATGTGTTCAGACATACAGCCATCTTCTCCTGATATTGAAGTTACGTCACAACATAACGATATTTAAAACACTGTACTTGCTGTAGAGCCAGAAACTGAAACTGCAGCAACAGAAATAATTACTGACGTGGAAATTCCAGCACTTAGGAAATGCCCCACAAAGTACCCCAAAACAAAGAAGCACGTGGTCAGTGAATGGTTAAGTGAGAAGAATGAGAAGACAGGAAATCTTCAGACAGCTTTCAGAAAGGCCTCTGCGCATAACTACAGATCCAGAGGTCTTAGCTACACAGCTCAATTCTTTGCCAGGTCTCACTTATAGCCCCTCTGTATACTCTATTCCTAAGCATTGTATTAGGTTTATACCACCATTCCTTTAGGAAAAAAAAAAGAGAAGAAAAGAAACTACTGAAAACATTTCTGGCTCATGCAAAAAGCAAAAGTAGAAATGCCAAGAGCGGTGATTTGGACAGGGATTTTTTCAGGCCCAAAAGTCTTATAATAGGAGTCCCTCCTGACATCCACATCTCCTTAGCCTCCTGCACTGCAGAGCCAGCTTAGTATCACTGTCAACTCTCTAATTCCATGACCTCACTTGCAGCTTCCCAGCATTCCCCAAGAATCAACAAGGAGAACGTTACCATTGGCCACTGTAACAGTGGACGAATTCGCAAGCCAGGTGCAGAAGCAAAGAAGCGCTGGCAGCTTCAAACATAATAGCATTAAGAAGATGGTGTGGAGCTTTCTTTCTTTTACTTTTTAAACTAACCTAACATGGGCTTCTTACTGATGACCTTTCCCTAACCTGGCCCCATCCCACACTGTTGCACTTCCTGTCTTACAAACCCATCTAGTCTGCCATGTTGCCAGACGATCAACTCTTGGAGGCAGTTGCCAACTCTAGCCCATTTCTTGTCATTAATGGTTCCTCCCTTCGGGAACCATGGACAAAGATCCCCGATAAAGAGGAAGAAGTTTTTTAAATTGTTTCTTTTTGTCCTGAGCTTCTCTCACCATGAGGGATTCTTTGATCCCAGAAAGATATAAATCTTCCTTGTTAAATGCTTGTCCCATTACTCACCTTTTCCACATAGGTGGTGCTCATGAACTGAAAGTCCCAAGCATTGGGCAGGCTGCTGGGTCTTCCTCCAACCGAGGCTCACAATCAACCTTGTTGTGGACGCCTCACTGCATGGACGGGCCGGTCCCTCTAATGAGCACTGAAGTTCCCAGATCCCCAACTCTATCCAGCTGCACTTTGGGCGCCAGTTGTCCCAACTTGCAGGATGTCAACCTGGGGCAAGAGAGTCAGGGAGAGGGAATGGGGACAAGAGACTCAGAAAGAACAACTACAAGACAGGATTCTGATCAAGTGGCAAACTTTACTTTTCTCAGGCTAGCTTATATAGTCAGGATATGGGGAGGGGCAGAATGGGTTGTTTGTGCACCAGGTGTTTGTATAGGCAGGATATTAGGAAGCCACAAAGAGGATGTTTGGCAGGGTAAAGAGTTCATGAGTAAGAGGTCCAGGAAGGGTTGGTTGCCTAGGTGACTGAGCCTGTGGATGGAGTTGTTTCTTTTCTTGAGCTGAGGTTCTAAGGAGCTGCTATGTAAAGGTTAACTATGTGGCCTGCCAAGCATGGCCTAGGATCTCATGCCAAGCCCTGAGGTTTGGCTCCCAACTGTTATGTAATACTTCACACAAAATAATAATAGTAGATGAATTTAAATGTAAAAAACATAGAAAGACTTCTAAGATAAATTGTAAAGAAGGCTGTGGAACTGAAAGAATAATATTAAATCAATTCTATGAGGGAAAATAAAATGGCACATACACATAAATGCATAGAAAACAGTTCAGGAGTGTATACAGATTTGAAAAGGTAGTTATGGCTGAAACAGGAGGAGAGGACTTCTTGCTTAGGGCTGTGCTTAACAGATGCCTTCACTATAAGTCAACTATTATTTTACAAATGAATGTGCCCATCCATAGATGAGTACATTTGGCATGTAGACACAAGGATGGTTTTGTTTTGTTTGAAGTCCCATGGAGTAAAATTGTGCCATTTTCAGGAAGACACAACAAGGTGGAGATCATTATGTTAAGTGAAATAAAACAGACTGAGAAACACAAGTTCACTATCATACCCCCTGTGCGTACACACACACACACACACACACACACACACACACACACACAGAGAGAGAGAGAGAGAGAGAGAGAGAGAGAGAGAGAGAGAGTTTGTTTGGAAGGAGATATAAAAGTAAAATAGTGGAAACAGGAGAAGGGGGAGGGCTTAGGTTACTAGAGAGGTGAATATGATCAAGTCTGACATAGGCATGTGTTGAAATGTGATCATGAGTGAGGTCAATTCTTACTCTACAATATGAGCCCCTAAAGCATGGTGATTTACAGTTTCTTTTAAAAGCAAAGGAACCTGGGGCTGGAAAGATGGCTCAGCAGTTAAGAGTACTTGCTGTGTAGGGTGTGGTTCTGTACTCCTTTAATCCCACAGAGGTTGGCAGATTTCTGTATCAGGCCAGCCAGAGAGACAAAGTGAGACCTTGTCTCAAAAATAAAAATCAAAGCAAATGAACAGAGGACCTGTGTTTGGTTCCCAACACTGAGAGGACACTTCACAACTATCTGTAATGGTAGTCCTAGGACCTGGTACCCTCTTCTGCCCTCCTCAGGTACCAGGCACACAGATGATGCACAGACATATACGTGGGTAAAACACCCATCACATAAAAATTCAAAAACATAGAAACAAGTGAGTCATATGCCAACCTGACTAATTATTTGGCAGTTTGTGCAAGCTGTGGCATTGCCTTTTGAGATATGGATGTTTTGTTTGTTGTTTTGTTTTGTTTTCAGCTTTATTATGTATACACTTTTCTGCCTGCAGTCCAGAAGAGGGCGCCAGATCTCATTACAGATGGTTCTATGTGGTTGCTGGGAATTGACCTCTGGAAGAGCAGCTAGTGCTTTAAACCACTGAGCCATCTCTCCAGCCCAAGAAGTGAGGTTTTTTAGGAACTCAGTAGACCTGTATCATCCTCCCTCAGCTTAGGCACAAACCACATTTAATTTGGTTCAAGGACCATCAAACTGTACTTAAGAGGATCAGTAGCAGTCTTGTGATTGTCACCATTTAAGCAAAAAGTCAAGTGCAGTGCAACAAGGCAGACGGCCCTTGACTTTTCCAGAGTGTCCTTCACCAGCATTCTTGGCCTGCTTTTGTGCTCTGAGAAATCTGGGTGGGAGTTGAACCGTGGCACTTGTTCAGCTCCCTGTAAGCCATGCTATGCCATGAGGCACTGGAAGGAGTTCTTTAGACTGTGGGTTTGTGTGAACTAAACTTTGGTCAGTGCTTCAGTGGGGTTTATAATGGAGTCACCAAGAGAGAAGATGTTGTTACTTCTTACTGCACCTTCTGGGCCATCACCTGTGTTCTTCCCTCCATAAATGTGCTGCTGGCTTCCTTCTTCTTGTTACTCGGTCAGAATCTCTGCTGCGTGTGCTATTCATTGATTTGACTTTTTTCCTTTTTGAGCAGAAAAGGCTTTTTGGCTTCTGATACATTTTTAAATGCTGTTTTGTGCTTGGTACACAGTTGGTGCTCAATAAATATTGGTTGAATTTGACTTAATGAAATATTTATTGAGTTTCCATTATGACCAAAGAGTATGTAGTGAAGACAGTAATGATTGCAGACACTCCCTGCCCCATGGAGATCAGTATTATGTGAGAGAGGTGAGCAGCCTTCAGCAAGAGAGGCCAGGCATGGAGGTGCACAGACCCTGATGACCCTATGATGGATGTTTCACTCCAGAATTAATCAGTGGCCTGTGAGCAATTCAAAATATAGGTCTATGTTGCAACTTCAGAGAGACTCCATGAACTGAAAAATGGCTCCATGGACTGAATTATTTGTTCACCCCCCCTTCCACGCCCCCACCAGGATGTAAAAGGAGAATGTGGTAAGAGGAATTCCTGAGGTGAAGTGACCACAGACATCTATGTGGCAGAGGGTGACTAGTGATGTCTTTTGTATTTTCTATTCTTTCTATCTTGCAAACACCCACAAGCTTTTTTAGTACCTTTAGTGTATTCAAGAGACAGACTTAGGAGAGGGTGAATGGTATGACAATCATCAGTGGCATGTTCTGTGGCCTCCTGAGATGTGCAGAGAACACTGCTTCTCCCCTTGCTACCTCTCAACTCTATCTCTGTCACCATCACTAACTGTCCGTCATCAAATTTTGCTTTATTACAAAATCCAGGGAAAGAGGTCCTGATATATTTGCTTCTTAGTCTCCTTGATTATTGATGGTAACTTGATGAAATATTTTTTACATTGTACATGCAAATCAAATTGTGAAATAAATATAAGCAAGTTGTTTTCTTATATCCTGGAAGGACATTGCATGCCATCCTGTGTGGAAAATACAGTGGCTCCAAGAGGGTTTTAAATCTTACTACCTTCAATAAGTCAAAATTTTACAGGTGACTTCTTATAGGTGAAAAATAGGCCATTGTGTTAAATGGTCCTTAAGGGATAGAGAGAGGAAGCCATAGGCAGTGCTCAGGCAAGCATGCCCTGCCAGCAAGGGCCAGAAAGCTAGACGTTAAATGGTGGGATAGGAAGCTATTTTTGTTTGTTTGGTGATATTAGACGATAAACTCAGGGCTTCCTGTTCTCAAATCTTGAGGTCTACTACTGAGCCACATCCCAGCCCTATGCTAATAAGTTTAAGCAGGTAGTCTCCTACCACTGAGCCACATCCTCAACCACTCACTGGTGCACTTTAAACAAGAACTCTCTGTCTGGGTGGTGCCTTTAGCCCCAGCACATTCCACTTGGATGTTCAGCCCTTTTAAGCCTCCTATCACTGAGATTCTCTTTGTTTGAAATCTCATCCCCCTCCTCAGTCCTTGACTTCTTTGAGTCTGATGAATTTGCTAGTGTGGCTCACACTAGCTCAGTGAAGCATTTTTTTACATTTCCTGTTTACTATATTAATAAAACATTGGATGTAGAATACATTCAAGAAATGAAGAGGGCAAGAAGGACAGTTGTGGGTTTGGTGTAAACATTCCTCTTGCTGCACTCCAAGCACCTTCAGTCTCCATCTTTGTTCAGGAGATTGGTCAGCCATTGTGGGGCCTGTGGTTTAGGAAGTGTGCTTGTTAGTGTGCACGATTTGGATTTCCTTTGTAAAGAGGCTGGGATGATACTTTGTAGCCTGTAAGAGAACCCGCGCTCCAGCCGAAGCCCAGGCGGCAGGTGCCCAGGCCAGCCCACATGAGCGTGGGCCGCAGGCACTTCCTCCCTGAGCCACGCCTGCCTGCATGCCCAGAGACTGCTGACTAAAGGACAGACACCAATGAGGAAAGGACAATGCAGCAGAGAGTCAGCCACCTGAGCCAATGAGATCTTGGGAAGGGGTATAAATGCAGATCTAACTTCTTTAATAAACGAGTCTGCAGCATGCTCTGCTACTCACTGACTCCCAGGGCCTGAGGTGCTGCATCTTCTCACTTCCTCTCCCAAGGGGTGTCCAAGCAGGGTCAGTAACCAGAGGCCAAAAGGAGAGATTTTAATTTTAATTTAAAATAAACTTTTCTAACATGCAAAGACATTTAGTCAAGCAAATGATAACACACATCGGTAATCCCAGCCTGGACTGAGGTGAAAGGACCATGAGTTTGAGGCCAGCCTGGGCTACAAAGCAAGACATTGTCCTAAAAAAAACAAACAAGCAGACAAAAACCAATAAAGCAATAAAGAAAAGAAAATCTCATCACCAGGCCTTGCCTGGTAACCTTGCTTCCCAGTTGGAGCAGGCCTAGCAACAGTAACAACACAGCTGCTTTGTGTTCTGAAACCCTTGCAGCTGCCTCCACTGCCACCACCAGCGTTGAAGAGTGAGAGCCCCTGTGCCTGGTAGCAAGCCACACTGACTGCCAGTGTATGCTAGGGAAGCTGAGTCCCATGACCTGCACTTGTGGGGTCAATATAGACTGTGTAGTCTAGGCATAGTTTGGAGATTAGTATGACTGCAGTGTCACAGCTTGGTGTGGTCTTTCTGGCCATGTGTCTGTGATTGAGTAATCTGCAGTGTTCTGGTACCACCTTGGAGCTGCACCTATTAGTATTTATTTGTTCTCTCACTGACATCACTTTTTCTGCATTATTGTTTCCCTAACAAAGCTTTAGACTGTAAGGTTTTGGTATAAACTCTGTTGTTATATGTATAAGAAATAGATTGCTAATGTCCATTTTCAGTGTGAGGTTCAACTAGAGCCCAGCAGTTACAGATGAGGTGTTGATGGTGCTGGGCCCCTCTCTCTTCTAGCTGGCAGTGGCTCCTGCTTGTGTCAGAACTCTGAAAGCTACAAGTAATCTGCTAAGCAACTGAGTCCACTATGAGAAAAGAGGGCAGCCTCAAGCCCCAAAGTATTCATTAGATAAGGCTTTGTATCCTAAACCAACAAGGTGGGGAATTTAGAAGGGGGCAAGTCCCAACCCATGGGAGAAGGACACAAGAACGTCTTGCAATTAGGTAACTTTAAAATAAAACACACCAGTTTTGGCCTCTCCTTTACACTGGTGCCCCTCTCTGTAGAACTGTATTTTAAAAATGCGTTCATTCTTACTAGTCTCTTATTCCTCACATTGGGAAATTGAAATTACTTGAAAATGCAGAGAAATAAAAAGAACACAATTCAAAATCCACAATCCCACCAATGTGAAATGCAGCGCTACTAAGGCTGTTTCCTGTCTCCCTCTTCTCCCTATTTCCTCCCCCCACCCATTTCATCCTCCTGCTCCCCCATCTCCACCTCCACTCCTCCTCCTCAGACCTCTCCTGTAAACAGATTGAATCACCAAAATAGAGGCTAGGAAGAAATAATTTGGAAGAGATATGACTGAAGAAGACTTGATGACTTTAATATAAAGAAACAACATTTACAGTGAAAATGGTGGATAAATAGATAAAAAATAAGCAGGAAAATTAGAAATGTTAGAAGTTAGGACCACAAGATTACATACCAGGACTGGGGATATACTTCAGCAAGGCTTTACCCCCAGGACTGGGAGGGTGAAAAAGACAAGCTCAAAGCAACAACAACAACAAAAATCAAATCCTCACTTCTGTTGTTAGTTCAGCACGGTGATGCATACCTGTGAGCCAAGATCATGGGTTTCGGGCCAACCAGGCTTACCTGACAAGACCCTGAGAGGCTGGGTTCAGAAGAGTTCTGTCTGACAGGAAATGCCCAGGATGCAAGGCTGTGCTGTGGAATTCCCACCTTCCCAGAAGGATGTTGTGTCTGAGAGAAGAACAAAGCCACTGCTCTGGGCAGACACTCATGGAAGCACATTTATTCTGCCAGAAAAGAAACAAGGTATGTTTGTTGGAGAAGAAACAGAAGTGAGAGGAGGCAGTAGTGAAGCAAACTAAGTTTATTGTGCTTGCCCAGACTAACATATGATAACAACATCTTGAATTTTCATAAGAAGTTGTTTGGCAGTGGGGAGAAGGGATTGTAAACAAACATGTATAATATATAAATATGTTTTTGTAACACACCTGTGGGCATCGATTGGCATTGGAAGGTGCTACATGAATGCAGTATGGCCCTGCACCATGCTCAGTTCTCATCACCACTGTTTGCCCACTACTTCTGGATGGGTGGCAAGAGAAGTTTGGGGAGATGTCTTTTTGGTGGAGTCCAAAGTTACTTTGTGACAACACTCAAATATGGATGCAGTATGGCCCAGCACCATGCTCAGTTCTCATCACCACTGTTTGCCACTACTTCTGGATGTGTGGCAAGAGAAGTTTGGGGAAATGTCTTTTTGGTGGAGTCCAAAGTTACTTTGTGACAACACTCAAATATGGTGAGCATAACATGTAATTTATTCTCCTCAGAAGAACACTGTAGTTTGCCATATCTCATTTACATGCACAGCAAGATCATTTGTCATGATTAGAGGGAGTGGTGAAGGAATGATTGGCATGCTTCTAAAAACGTTAAAAGCTCTGAAGAGAGGCTCTAACGCCAGCTGCAGGCATGAACAATGGTGTGCATTTCAATAATCAATAGCAAATGACCCATGAATCCGAGAGCTGCTTTCTTAGGGAGCTCGTAATGGGTTTATTCCTTTCCTTTCCAGCTCATTAACAACCCGTGTTTGAAAATAGGTCTGAACCTGGGTGGCTCCCTCTTAAGAAGGATCTGTATTTGCATGTCAGAGAGCTAAATGTGCAGTGCTGGGCCCCATGCAGGGTGTCTCAAAGCTTCTGAGGTAACAGTGGGTTCCCACGACAGATGCAGCCCCTACTATGTGGACGCACCTAGCAGAGTTCTTAAAATCAAGTGAATTTATCTCCAATGTTTAACAATCAGATTTCATGTGCAATAAAAGATTTCAGGTTTCTTTACAAAAATATGGAAAACTGAAGAAAAAAGAAAAAAAAAGAAGGAAAACTGGCTGTCTTGGGTCTGTGTTTTTACCAGGTGCCCAGTGACTGTTCCTCTTCTGAGCAAGCATGGGTTCTCCAGCCTGCTCTGTTTTTTTCCTCTGTTCCTGAATTCTGTGGCACTTGGGATCATTCCTCCATCTCTATAAGCTCTTCCCCTCCATCCTTTCATTCTCACCTCCTATCCTATTTCCATGGGCAGAATTTTGCTTCCCCCAAACTCCATGTTGTAAAGCGAAATGTGGCAGCTTCTGACTTACGGCCAGACTTTATGCTCAAGCAAGGTGTAGAGAGCCAAGGAAACCGGAAAGGATCAGACAGTGCTGCTGTGGCACTTAGAGGGGATCTGCAGAATGCTCTAGAAGCTGAAAAGGGGGGCAGATGGGGACAGGGGGTGCTGGCCTGACCTGGTCCTTCTGTTAGACCCCCCAAAACTCAAGTATCCGGGGTCCCAGGCCACGTTCGCGGTCACCCCATCACCAGGCGGATTCGAGAGTTTGCTGCAAACTGCACGAGGCTTTATTGTAATTTAACGAGCTAACCCCATGTTAGCTCGGGTCTTTCACCCACCCAC